AGACAAACTAGAGAAAGAGAAAACGCCTAGCCCTGGTGATAAGATGGACAAAGCTGAAATACCGGCTGTAGACAAACTTGAGAAAGAGAAAACGCCTAGCCCTGTTGATAAGCTGGACAAGGCTGAAATACCGGCTGTAGACAAACTTGAGAAAGAGAAAACGCCAAGCCCTGATGATAAGATGGACAAGGATGAAAAACCAGTTCTTAATGCAGTCGACGAACAACCGACTGTTGACAAACTTGAGAAAGACAAAACGCCTAGCCCTATTGGTAAGATGGACAAAGATGAAAAACCAGTTCTGACTGCAGTCGATGAAAAACCACCTGTTGACAAACTTGAGAAAGAGCAAACGCCAAGCCCTGATGATAAGACGGACAAGCCTGAAATACCAGTTCCGACTGTAGTCGACGAAAAACCGAGTGTTGACAAACTTGAGAAAAAGAAAACGCCAAGCCCTGATGATAAGATGGACAAGGCTGAAATACCGACTGTAGACAAACTTGAGAAAGAGAAAACGCCTAGCCCTGTTGATAAGCTGGACAAGGTTGAAATACCGACTGTAGACAAACTAGAGAAAGAGAAAACGCCTAGCCCTGGTGATAAGATGGACAAAGCTGAAATACCGATTGTAGACAAACTAGAGAAAGAGAAAACGCGTAGCCCTGGTGATAAGAAGGACAAGGTTGAAATACCACTTCTGACCGCTGTCGATGAAAAATCAACTGTTGACAAACTTGATAAAGAGAAAACGCCAAGCCCTGATGATAAGATGGACAAGGATGAAAAACCAGTTCAAACTGCAGTTGATGAAAAAAGAACTGTTGACAAACTTGAGAAAGAGAAAGCACCAAGCCCTGTTGATAAGATGGACAAGGCTGAAATACCAGTTGCAACTGTAGTCGACGAAAAACCGGCTGTTGACAAACTTGAGAAAGAGAAAACGCCAAGCCCTGATGATAAGATGGACAAGGATGAAAAACCAGTTCTTACTGCAGTCGACGAACAACCGACTGTTGACAAACTTGAGAAAGACAAAACGCCTAGCCCTATTGGTAAGATGGACAAGGATGAAAAACCAGTTCTGACTGCAGTCGATGAAAAACCACCTGTTGACAAACTTGAGAAAGAGAAAACACCTAGCCCTTCTGATAAGATGGACAAGGCTGAAATACCAGTTCCAACTGTAGTCGACGAGAAACCGAGTATTGAGAAACTTGAGAAAGAGCAAACGCCAAGCCCTGATGATAAGACGGACAAGCCTGAAATACCAGTTCC